ATGGTTTTATCAGAGCTGGGGAAGGAGCTGAAGTCAGGTTGGGCAAGTAATAGTCATGGTTCAATTCAGATGTGCAGGAATGCTATTAGTGGTGTGAACTTTGGGAAGCTGACTATGGGAAATTAAAACTGCTAGTCACGGGAAGACAGAGCTATTCAAACTGCAATTTGATGACTGGAGGAGCTGAGGCTGGAATGGAGGCTACCTCTGAGTCATGCTCTTGTTCTCTCACAAAATCATGGACAGTTGTCTTTTTTAGCTTTGATCTGGGTTCTTTGGGTGGGAATTAGTCTTCCCTCACAAGGAAGAGGGGGAGTGTCTTGCCTCCCATTGGCCTATACTTTGTAGATTGGACATGTCCTGGGGGAAGCTAGCAACTGCAATAACAGGAAAGAGTCCTGTGGCCTATAATGAACTAGTTCCTTGTGACAGAACATGGTGGCTGGCAGACAGAGCTCTAGGTTTTCCTGAGATGAGCAGGTAATAGACAATTGTGGCAGCCATGGACTGACATTGCTCCTCTTTACTCTTATAATATGCATCCTTGGCTCTCTAGGTCTCCTTATGGTTAAGATCTTGAAGGCCATGTTTAACAAAGTGAAGCAAGAGTTTAGAATTTCTTTAAGCTTTTATCTAGCACCTGGAGAGATTTGACTTGTAAAATGTACAGCCAGGATGGCTTGGCTTTCTGACATGCTGCCAGATCAGTATACTTCTAGACTAAAAGCAAGTAGGGTTCTTGGGAGCATCCCTGTGTTATCTCCCACCAAATGCTGTAGTTATTAAGTTTGATGATGGTCCCTTTCTAAATTCCCTGTAATAGACAGGATACAGTCTGGGAAAATCCTCCCCCCACCTAGTTTCTAATTGCGACATACCAGGGACCACACCGTAACCCTGGCCTAACTAACCATAGACTGAGCAGAGTCTTGAGTGCTCACAAATGAGGACTTATCAAGGATATCACCCAGGACTAAGTTTAGAGGTCACATAATAGTGTAGGAGAATCTTTTAAGGCACATAGAGCATCTCTCTCACAACTGGAGATCGTGTGGCACAGCCATGGAGACTTGGATATAAGGGACCTTGAAGTCTTTCATAAACTACAACAAAATAGATCTAACTATAGGATGTAGTTATAGCTTCATATGCAATGAGGTGGCAAGCACTCTTGATCCAGGAGTGGGTGTAAGAACAAAATTTTGTTACAAAGGTAAATAAGGATTTTTTTTCCTAAGAGTGGGGCCAGTTTCTGAGACCACATCCTGGGCTCAGTCACAGAGAATATAGGAGTGTCTGACAAGAGTTGCAATGTTCACCCAAAAGGTATTTCTTGAAGGCAGTGGGCTTTTCCTGCTGTCATAGGTGAGATCCAGTTTCACTGCACTGGCCTGTCTGAAGTATGTTCTAAGCTGGGGCATCCTCTGAAAATAGAGAACCTTCTGGCTTGCAGAGATGGAACAGTTTCACTCCAGAACCAAACCCATTCAGTTAGTCAGGCTAGATTAACCTTGAAAGGAAATCTCACAGACCAAAATTAGCCATAAAACAGTTGTGATGGGAGCTAGAGAGATGGCCAGTGGTTAAGAACACTAGCTGCCCTTCCAGAGGTCCTGAGTTCAATTCCCAGCAGCTGCTTGATGGCTCACAGCTATCTGTAATGAGATCTGGTGCCCTCTTCTGGCCTGCATGAATACATGCAGACACAACACCTTTATACATAATAAATAAATCTTAAAAACAAAACACACACAAAAAAGATTTATTTAAGTGGCTGAGTATTTTGCCACATGTATGAAGATACACCACATGCACGC